CCTGTAGTCACCGCTTGAGGTCTTAATTGGTGCGGTGATGGCTCATTAATTGACACAGTGTTCTTGTCCGCGTCGTATGCGGGTTTGATAATTGCGCGACAATTATGCCCGTTATCATCAGGGTTGTTGCTGCGCCCGACCCTCCCCACGTGACTGATCTCTTGCTCAGAAAATTTCTCAGTAAATCGTAGGGGAACGCTAAATCGTTGCGCTTGTTGATGTACTTGGGGCCTGAGAACCATGACTCGAGCAGCTTGCAGCTCACGTGGTTCACGATTCACAGAAAATCTTACTCAGCAAATTTACTTGGAATAGGAATACGGACAAATGCACTAAAGGAAATACTACTGAAGTGCACACCAAATGTGTAGTTCCTTTTTGACAGCCAAATACACAGACAAATGAATGGCGTTGCCATGGGCTTGCCTCTGGGACCTCTTTTGGCTGACATATTCATGGGCGAGATAAAGAATTTTCAACTAAGCGATCGGATCCACAAGTTAAAGCACTACGGTCGCTACGTTGATGCTATCTTTGTGATCGCCACAACCGAAACCGACAGAGACGCACTCTTAAACGCGGTCAGTCAAGCACACCCTTTCATAATGTTCACGTTGGAGATGAAACCAGCAGTTTCGCTCCTTTTCCTGGACGTCCTCCTAAGTCGTAGACCTGACGGTAGCATCCAAATGAGCGTTTTTAGAAAGAAAACCTGGTCTGGACAATATACGAACTTTAAGAGTTTCGTACCCCTCCAACAGAAGCGAAATCCAGTTCGCTGTTTAACGCAAAGACCTAGAAAATTTTTCTCAACCGACAGTATTGAGGAGGAGCTCAAGAAAATTCAGAACCTACTTCGCGAGAACGGGTATGCTGAGGGACTTATTGCAACGAATATGTCTGCGAACCAAATAAAACCCACCATATATTACTGCGGAAAAGAAAATTATTCTTCAAAGTCCCTATTCGAGGGGACGCGGCAAGTGAACCGCTATAAAGACGCCTTGACCAAGCCGCTGCAAGAACTTTCCCAGCAGCGAGAGTTCGGGTATTGCCAAAACAAGCGAACATGCGTGTCCCAGGAAGCAAATGAGAAGAAGGAGAAGAAGACTCGATCGCTGGGACAATATTGAATGTCAATTTTGAGGAAGCCTGTTCATGCAAGACCACCGAGTGAATAAAACAGCACAATTAAAATTGCGTTGGAAATTTTTGTATTTTTCGGCTACATATGCTTCCATATTACGTGCAATGTAATTTATGGCTGTTACCGAACAGCCCAAATTTCGAGTATGTATTCCACCATGTTTTCACGAGAACTGCTAGTTGTTTCTTTCGTTTATTAATTGCTTGAGTTACTTTGGACTAAGGCAACCACGTTTTCGCTTGATATGCCCCGTTGGGAGATCACAGAAGTAATGTAGTTCTTAAGCTCACGTGCGGACATGCCAGTCAGTGACTAATAAATTTAAATGAAATTGTCAGCTACAATTGTAAACGTACCATTTTTGTGCACTAAGAGGAACTGCCTTCCGCCACATTTTGTAATTTTTTTGATATTTCCATTACGAAGAGTTTCAGATCTTCCTTTAACTGCTAATTTAGACTTTATGATGTTCACTGGCTTCCATCGATTGACAAAAAGTTATGATTATATTCCGTGTGCTTACGGAAACCCTCATAATAAGATATATCTCAAAAACATTTACCTAAATAATGAGCTTTTAACCATTTTCTTCTTATGCAACTCTCTGTGTGTGTCATGGATTTAGAACCACCCAAACATGTCGACTCGTTGCCGAGAAAAATGAAGGTCTACAACAAAAGTCGCGGATGAATATTCCTAGCACTGATTTAAAAAGATTCTATAACAGCTTATCTCTTAAAAGGCAGCTTTACTTTTATCTTTAGCCGTCGGACGTCTGCGAACGTTTTGTTGAAGATTACGTCAAGATCAGTATGAGAAATTTTGGACGGTTTATTGATTTACCTAAAAGTTATGGAAACATCCTCTGCTATAAATGAAAGACCTAACCTTTCTCTTTAAATCGGAAAAGTTTTCGGTATATTTGGTTACTTCTAGGCTCAGTTCTACAATAACAAATACAGAGTAGCGTGACAATAAAATCAACGGCGATTTTTGAGAAAACTGCATCCCAATTTCCCGCGATAACTCATTCAAATGTGTGTTAGGTTAACTGTCTTCAACTTTATATTGACTGTACAACCGATTTATTTACTATATACTAATACAGTCCTCATTTGCATCCCTTGCCTGCAACCTTTCAAATATACAACATACATTTTAATTGGGGTATTGCAAGTGACAGCCTTACAAGTTTATTAATTAATTTTATGGCACGAAGCTTGGACGTCTTGCAAAATTTAACTTCATCAAAGTTACTTTGCTCTTCTTTTTCCAAAAGCAATGCGCTATCTCATAATAACACTAACCTCAATTTCAAGGACGCAAAACAAAATTTCCCGTTTTGTGAACAGATATAATTGAAAAGTTCCTGCTCTTCATGAATGATCTTTTACAGTGTGAAATGCACACACACACACACACACACACACACACACACACACACAAACACACACACACAAGAAGTTCTTTCCGCAGTGTTTAGTAGCATCGGCAATTCCTCGGATATCAACAAATGCTGGATTTCGCCCATTTCCGCCTCTATTTTCTCCCAGTATACTGACCTGAAGGGAATTCTATTCAAGTAAACAGCATTTTGCGGCTCAAGTCAACATAATCAACTAAATAACCTAACTCAAATGTGTGTTAAATCCCCCAATCCCCAACCTTTCTTCAGATGTGTAGCTGCTAGATGTGCTGTCAGGGCCCCAGAAATGAGGCCCAGTGTAAAGACGGAGCGGGACAAATTAGTTTCGTTAACGAACAGTGAACATTCACCAATGGGAGTTCAGTGTATGCATGCTGACTATTAATCTTCGTGTTATTATTACTATCAGTCCTTTATTACTATCATTATTAGCCTTGGTGTTAGCATTATGCAGTATTACCATTACTATTTGCATAATTATCATTACTAAAAGTTAAATTCCTGCCACTTCTTCTTATACAACCATAATAACTACAATTGCTCGCAGATTCAACGTCTAAGTGTCCTGCAGCCAGCGCGAAGTGCAATCACCTAGGCGGCCCACGCCGTATGGTCGTTCTCTCACTAAGCTCGGGTACCATAGTGGGATGTGGTAGCCGCCCCCTATTTAGAAACAGATTTGCTTATCCTTGAGAGCCGGGTTTAGCACCTCTACCCCAGAGCCTGCCTTCATCGCTGTTGTGTGTTAATGGATTTTTCAACAAAAATGAATTTGCCTGCGTCTTCGGAGAATTGCTCAATCTATTTAGGGGGCGCACTAGGTTTTTTCAATTCACTTCAGTTCAGTCTATTTGAGTGAAAAGGGCAGAAGTAACAATGGTAGTGGATGCTTTTTAAAATATACTAAAATGTCTACTAAGTGCATTTGAGTAGGCGTAGTTTTGATTTGCTCACACTGACTTGACAGAATGCAATAGCCCTTGCCTTGATTAAACATCTTCACCTTGGCAAGGCTGCTATAACATCCTCGGCTAGCATTACACTAAAAAATATGGTGGTTGCAGAAGCGATACATAGACATATCTTATCTCAGGGAATTAGAAGTGATAGACGAATTTCTTCAACTTATCTACGACAGGACTCACACACCGCATATATTACGATGCACCGCAGCATGGAAGTTTCAGTTTTCATACATGTCACCAAACAGGCTACATTGTGTCAGTCAGTACAACGACACGATGGAGCATCTTTATTACCGTCAACAGCGACCTTTTATAACTATTTCTATGAGTCCTAGGCATTGACATGTTCGTATCATGTCGTCCAAATTAATAAAGTTGAATAGTTCCTCAGACAAAGTCATACAATCTCCTTGAGTTTTTGTAATTCTTCTCTTTGCTTATATTATTGGCCTACAAGTAATATAGATAAACCGTTGTA